GGGGGGGGGGGGATTTATTCCAAGTACAAAACATTGCCAAACTCACCAATATGCTGCTCTGACTTTCCTTTGTTAACAAAAATTTTTTTTCATTCATTAATTTTTTCCAGTCACCTCTATTTTTTATTATTTGCTGTTAAGCTATCGTCATTTAAGCGCAATCTTGCAGATGTTTTCACATTTAAAACACTACCAGGCTTTTATGCCATTTGATCTTGTGGGAGGCTTCAAATGTAAAACAACTTCTGTTTAGTTTTATGGAGAGTGGTAAGTGGAAAGTATAAGTCGAATTAACTGGTGTTAAAATACTATCTCTGTTAAAAAAAGAGAATCTGTGGGCAGCCAAGTGATTCATATGATGGGGGTATGTTGTTATACTTGTGGTGTTGTGGAAATGCATATAATTCTAAATTTGTCAAGACAGCAGGTAACATTAGCTTGCTTCCAGACTGTGTATAATGTTTTGCTCATTGACAGCTATATCCATGTCGAAGAAACAATCAATCAGAGCTTTATAGACAGGATTAAGAATGATGATGTTTATTTAAAGTCGTCCTTTATAGTTGGATAGCTATGTAGCTGCATCCATAAAGAATAGCAATAGAAAGTTGACTGTTTCTTTGATTTTCTGCCTAAAGTGACGTTGGCAGGACAGATATGTCATTCACTACTGATTGGTTAGGGCAAAACAAAACAAAATGGGCCCCACCCTTCCAATAAGATGTCAGCGAACATGAACGCAATGTCGGGTTGAATGAATGAAGGGCAATGAAATGGCAGTTCAGTCTGATTACTAGGTTAGGTCAACACGGAGGAAGTGTTGAGCTCAGACTAACAGCAAAAAGCATTAACAGCGAATTAAAGTTGCAGAAGACTGAAAAACAGGGAGATGTCTTATCTTAAATATCCTAATATATATATATATATATATGAATATGAACATGGTAGAGCATGAGAAATCTAGAGAGAGAGAGTGTGTGAGAGAGAAATCCGCTATCTATAAAGAGAAAGGGTGCAGGAGAGAGCGCTGGAGCGAGCAAGGTACACAATAGAGGAAAAGTCGAGAGAGCAGGCAAGAGAGAGCGAGGTGTTGTAATTACTGCAGTGTACCCAGACAGAATTAGCTAGACGGACAGTGATTAACCTTTAAGGCTTGCTGGGCCATGGGAGGGAAATAATTAGATTTCCCCTCTCCCTCTCTGTCTTTGCCTCGGGGACGGCAGAGAGTGCAGGCTCATCTCTTATTGCTTACAGTCAACAGAGACAACGGACTGAGGCACTCCAAATAGAAAGTGATACGCAAACAACAACGGCCTCAGAGTGTTGAGTGGATGGCCTGATAGTGGCACTTTGAGTCACTGCAGGGTGCAAAGCAACGGGTACTTAGTGCCACCATTCCCCTCAGTGCTACTACACCAGTGCTAGTGTGAAGAACTACTTCCTCAACTCTTACACGATTGCCTGCATAATGTGTGCATTCTTGTCGAATAGTTCCAAAAAGTTTTCTTTTTCTTACATCGGAAAGGTGTGTGTGTGTGTGTGTTGCTCTCAACATTAATTGCACATAGTATATCAAGATAATAATGGCACATAGTGAATGAGCTTCACGAATGTATCAGGAAAAAACATCAGTCAAAACGGAAGTTAAAAAAAAGACACACACATCCGATTCAGGCTGTTTTATTTATTCTGTTGGTCATTGCTGTCAGATGAAAATATAAATTTGTTCTCTACAATGGTGAAATGTTTTCTTTCAATCCTTAACTTTCCAATTTCCAAGGAAGTACAAAAGAAAAAATAGCTTTGTATTCTTGGTTGATTACCATTTCTATATCAAACTGAAATCTTAAAAGTTGTTGAATTTCCTCAATTTAGGAAGAAAGTAGAATGTGCTCCTTCAGCTGTGAGAATAAACAAAATTGTTGAACAGTTTTCACTTTCAGACAGTATGGAAACT